AGCTTGTTTTCTTACCTGAGGTCTTAATCTGTGTACCGGTGTTTTAAGAGCTTCCAATTTACTACAGCTGTTGGTAAAATTTGAAAGCAGCTTCCAAACTCGGAGCTCCTTTACGATATTCAGTCTTTGTGAGCAAACACTTTTCGACCTGTGCAAACTGAGGCTCAACAACACACGGCCGAATATCATGACAGGCTAACAGTTTTCTTCTTTTTTTTTTTTTCCAACAAGTCAGAGAGTGGCATTTAACTCTAGCTAAGTTTACACATCGTAGCCAGATACGTCAAACCAATGATATTTAGACTAACATAAACGGGTTCCAGGTTCAGGATACTTACAAAAAGAAAATTCACCCCACTAAAGTTGCTTTCTTAAAGCTAACACCTGTTGAAATAAATCAATGCTGCAGAACATCTGTTGTTACTACACAGCTACGAGCTAACAGTGAAAAGAGCTCCGCTTCTAACTACTGCAAATAAAGTCACATTTTTAATTAACTCAACATCATGCTGATGTCACAGAAGCCATGTTGGTGTTGCACCTAGGTAGAAAATGGTCCGGAATAGGGAGAAAATAACAGAACTTTAGCAGGTGTGCTAGCTGATAGCACAAACCGGATGAAACATTTTGTAAACACTGCCAACTTCCGATTCATCTCTTCAAAGTAAGAGCGTGTTCCTTCGAAATAATGTCCAGTATTTTGACTAATTTCAACTAGACGCTGTCAGGTACAGTATAAGCTCTTGGGCTTTTTATCACTAAATCAAGGTTAGTGAGTGAAATTCAAGCATAAACAAAGAGATAGGAAAAAATCTTATACATGAATGTTAGTGTAATGTTTGTCAAAAGTACAAACATTACACTAACATTCATACTGTTACTTGCACACTGAATTTATCATTTGACTAAATTGTAAAGTAAAAGACGTTGGTCAAATGTTGTTTTTGAACTTGTTACATTGCAACACCAACATATATTTGCAATAAACGTGCTTACACAGTGGACCAGATTATTCAACACAAACCTCAAGATCACATGTAAAAGGACTTTGTTGTCAAATGTTTTCTTAGTTTGACAAAGTCTTGGTTATGATAAAAATAATTATGACAACCATTTTGAAACATGGTTTATTTGTTGAATTACAATCACTGTTTAAAGCCACAGGTATGTCAGAAAACATTTACACAAAACAGTAAAGATAAACATGTGGTTTTCTTTCCTCTCACCAATGCAGTCTAACAATTTCTTCTATTATTTTAGGCAAAAAAGTATGTAAGAATTAACTATAAATATTAACACTGACTTAACTTTAAATCACTTAACCACCCCCAATTACCATGTATAAGGACAGGCAGATCTGAATCATTAAACTTTTTCTTGCCAAACTATTTTACACTGTTGGTTGTTATAATTGTCACAGCACATCCATCGCAAGCTATGAGTTGTTATCTTGACAAAAACCCAAATAAACCTCTGCCTCGTTTCTCACTATCTGAATATGGAGTATGTACAGAATAAGGGGGCTCTGTACGTACTCCATATTTTAATAATTCCTGCTGTATTCCAGAGATGGCGTCATTATTTTCTTTGCAGCTTATTAATCCATTTGATCTCTCATGATAGAAAACACTGAAATGCTGCACAATCTTAGGGTTGTAGTCCCAGGATCCCATTGTGGCAATATGCTTTGGTTCATGAGAGTGATGCATCAAGACCAGAATGGCAGGTTTAGCACCTGTGAAGAACAAAAGGGAAAACAAATATCAGAACAAAAAAATATAGTAAGTGGAAGATTACGGTAAGTCTTTCTCCCTTGGATGCAAAAATGTTTTAATTTTTATCTCACCTTGAAGGGCAAAAGGTTATTAGCAAAAATGCAAAATTATAGGCTTTGAAAAACCTTTGCAAGGTTACTTTAAGTAACACATGGTAATTTGTTATTTATATTAATAAATTAATCTTAAGAACCTTATCTCATATTTGAAAATATACATGCCTAGAAAGGTCTGATTGGAAACAAATATAAGTAAGTTTACAATCAATACAGCAGTCTGGAAAAACTCATTGTCTCACCTGTAACGTTTCTCATGGCTGCTTCCACATCTGTTCCTGTACGTGAAACAATTGGACAGAAGACCAACACGACATGGCAATCCTCACTGCTCTGGCTCTCCACCAAGTCCAGCTGCTGGGCTGAGCTCTTAACTTGGCTCAGAATCTGATGATGGGCTTCAAATGTCTGACCACTGATCACCATGTTGTACTTCACCGTCACTAAGGGGGAAGTTACAGCCACAGAGTTAAACTATTTAAAGATACGAATAACTTCACCATCACATAAAAACATTTATCAAGAGATATGAAGATCATAAAGACAATTGCTACCTTGTGCAATCTCGGAACGACCAACAGAGTGATAACTTGTTGACCTGGAGACCCCGGCACTTTGGTTTACATGCACTGAAAAAGAGTATTGAATGGATATATATATATATATATATATATATATATATATATATATATATATATATATATATATATATATATATATATATATTGCTTAATTTCATTTTAAGAGAGCATTCAAAATTACTTCCAAATGAGCTCAGCTTTCCAAAATTATTAATACAACTAATATATTACAAAAGAGGTTAAATGTCAGTAATGCAAAAACCAGAGAGAAAGTGAAACTTGCCTGGAGATTTTTGTGAAGTGGTTTCATTTGCTGCAAAACAGGAACTTGTTGGACCAGCCAGTGCCTTAGCAGCAGAACCTATGAAACACAGAGTCATTGTAAACCTCAGTTCATATGCTGTATTTTATTTATTGCTCAACATTAAAAAGTATTCACTATCAAAGGAGAAATTGTAACTTAAACATAACTATGACACAGTAACAAAAAAAAAAAATCAATCAATCATTAGGGAATTTGTTAAATTGAAACATCAGCTTTTGTCTTCCAGTTTTCAATCCCCTGTGTGCAAAAACAAGCATCTGTCTACTTTTGTCTATACAGAATATTAGGCAATAGATTAAAGTTCAAACATGAACAGAAAGCCATAAATATTTTTGAGCTTTTTGTGGACTGGAAACCAGCATTAGCCGTGAATAACATGTGGGAAAATGTGTTATGATAAAGGTACAAAACAGAAATCTAAACGGAGTAAATTAGATGCTGTTTTTTTCTCTTAACCATGCGTTTTTTAAAAAAAAAAAAAAAACCTTTTAGTAAAAATAAGTCAAGTTGTTAGAAACAGCATAAACATTTGAAAAAACAAACTGTGATAAATGAAGCTACAATACAATGAAGCATGCTTGTAAGATTTACGAAAATGAAGAGAAAACTCAACCTGTATCACGTTTCTGCTGTGGCTGAGCTTTGATGTCCTCCAATAAACTAATGTGTGCTTCAAGGAAACTCTGCACATTGTTCAGCTGAGCTTTTATGTCCTTCAGGAGATGGAGGTATTCAACCAAGACCCCATTGTTGGTCAGGGCATCTGAACAGAGTACAAGGTTGATACAATCATGCTTTTCTGAAGATATCCCCATTTTAAAAAAAATTAAAAAAAAAAAAAAAAAAGAAAAACATACCCTTTATAGAATCATCTGGGATGAAACCTCTAAGATCTTTCAGGAGCCTCTCAATTGGTTTCTGATTAAAATACAACAAAATGCGAATTAATCTAAAGGTAAGTATGCACTGCATCAGTCTAGGTTTGTATGAATGCATAGGGGACACACACATGCTTGTTTATTATTTCAAAGATCTTCCTCCTCAACTTTAGCCTGTCAGATCCAGGGAAAAGCTCATGCAGGTCTTCTCTTGTTAGAGACTGGATCTCTGAGTCTGTGCAGAAATCTGCTCCTGAAAAATGGTTTTCAGGGTTACATGTTAAAACAACAGTGATAATACAACTGAATTAAGCGTATGAATCATATGTCCCTGTATTGAGCCCGTAGAAATGAAGTGCAGAGGCCTGTCTAGTTGCAGATCCGATAAATGAATTACTTACTTTCAAGCGTATTCGCTGCGCTTGAATTGTGGTTACGTATTTCCCTTAGCAAACCGTTCATTTTATCGGAGGGGGATAAAAACAGGACAGCTTGGTAGTTTATTTTTGTTCCGTGTGTCTTCTCGGTTACCCTTTAGCACGATAAAATGAGCCTGTAAAAAAGAAAGTGGAAAGGAGAAACAAATAGACGTCAGAAATCACTGAATCATCCTGAGTAATATGGCGTCTATTTGTAAAGCTTAGTTCACAACACAAATAAATTGGAAACCAACTTCAGCTTCGTGATACTCACCCTTTTCCAGTCAAGAGAAAGTGAAACTGAAGTGGACCAGAGCTGTTTTTCTCACGTCAGAGCATAGAGGGCGCTCTAACCTCCCTGGAGCCTCTTTCAAATACTTTTCTCCCTCTCTATGCAGGTGAATATCATATCTATGGAAGCCCGTTTGCCCCAGTACAGCCAACTAATTACCTCAGCATCTCCACAAAGATTTTCATCAGAGAGAAGCATGAAGTGTTGTTGCACTTATTTCACCACTTAAAATGTGCTTGAAAAAAGAAAAAAACATTTCATGGACGTTCTGTTTTTTCTTCTTTTTTTGTTTTTAATCAATGACCGTTTGTGGTTTCCTCCACTTGTGAAGGGTGTTGATGACTACTGGGCGAGTATCAAGTCAGAAATTGTCCCTATAATTGCGTAGGCCATAACACATCTGTATTAAAACCCCTTTACATTTGTTCTCGTGCAGCATTCTAATTTTTAAATAAACATGTGCAAATATGATTAATTTTAAGCAATTAATGCAACTATAAATAATAATTTAAAAAGTATTTAAAAGCATTATATATACCGGTACATGCAGTTAGTTGTTCAATCTAGTTTTTGTTTTATTTTGGTCCTCTTTATCTAGCAACACATGCTCCCTGTCCCAGGCAGTAGAAAGATTTATCTTAATACAATCTGAATATGAAATTAATTATAAACTAGAGACTGAAAATTTATTTTATTGGATTTTTAGATTACATTTGCAAGTGGTATAACAGAATTGTATTATTTATTTGTTCAACACCACTATTGCTTACAGGAAACCTATACAAGGACAAATATAAAAGTCACAATATACTACAGTACAACATCCCAAGACAACTACAGTATATATTGAAATTTACAATGAATACGCTTATAACTTCACATCACTGTAAACTGACAAAAAAAGAGAGAGAAAAATATATAAACCTCTATTCTACAGGCCCCCAAATACTTTTAGCATCACTGTTGCTGCTGCTGGTGCTGCTGCTGCTACTGTCACTGTCGAACAACCTAAAGCCAAACTCGCTGCCCTCACCGTCCAAATGGGAGCAGCTGTCAATGTCAGGGCTATTATATCCACCAGTCACGGCCCATTTGCTTCTTGGAGTGCAGTATTCAAGTAATTTGTTCTGTATCTGGATCACAGCAGCATTATTTTCTTGACACTTCAACAGTCCACGCGCTTTCTTGTGGTAGAAAATATTGACATGCAGCACGATATTCGAGTAATCCGACCACATCCTCCTTGTTGCTGTAGGCCTGATGCTAAGTGTGTGGTGCATCAACACCAGGATAACAGGTTCCCCTCCTGTGAAAACAAGAATCCTTTATTGTTGCTGTTGGGAAAACTTAAAACTTAAAGGTCAAGCGGGAGAGAAATAGTGACATCTAGTGGAATAAAAGTTACAACGTTTTACAGCCATGTTCATTACATTACAATATGTGTTTCAGAATAGCTTGTTTGTCAGATTAAGAATACCTTTAGAAAATAACAAACATAATCAGGTATAAAACATACTTTCATTAAGCCAACACTTCTGTACTTTTTTTATTGGTCTTATATAATATTCTCATCACAGATGTCATGTTTTCATTAGTTGTAAGTGTAAATCATTGAATATTATATAATAAAGGTCACTGGGTATAGTACAACACATATGAAATGAGTAAAATCATAGAGATAGATATTTCATAGATTTTCTTCCAGTAGAATGTGCTTAAGTCAAATACATATCTAAATAAATGACTACTAACACAATTTCTGCTCAACAATTTACTAAATCTTCACCTCGCAGAAAAATAACTACAAGTTGAAGCAAAATTATAAATGAATCTCATTTTAATTTGTCAGATCTGATATTCTGTTTACCTGTTACATTGCGCATGGCTCCATCAACATCTGCCCCGGTTCGGGAAGTGACTGGGCAGAAGACTAGGAAAACTTGGCCGTCCTTACTGCATGAAAGGAGCTGAACCCGGCCCCGCACTTGGGCTTGGACCTCGGCCATGAGCTGAAGATGGGCATCAAAGGTTTTACCACCGACAACCATCTGGTACATCACTGCGGGAAACGAATGAACATTTGTGAACCGATCGACTAAATAAAATTTTAGATGGAAATTACTTTAGAAATAAAAATGAAAGTTATAATATTGGTGACAGATTCAATCCATCAGATCTAATTTTGCTTGAGAGAAGTTGTAAAAATGGTCGGAGACATTTTGCATTCAAATCTAAGTGTATCTTTTTTTTTCTGTGATTGAAAAAAGCCAATCCAAATAATTCTATTTCATAAAGCAAATGTCATACTATGCAAGGCTCCAATTGAATCACAGACTACAATGTAGCTTACCACCATCACCATGAGATTATTTAACATTATTAGATGGTAATTGTAACAATATTTATATGCCACTTTTGCAAACTGTGTACCCAGTGTTGCTAAGTAGCAACAACCATAAAGATTTTTTTTTTTTTTTTTTGCCATGTCCCACAAATCTGTGGCACCATGACTTATCACAATAATAAAATGTCTATGCTACAGTGTTGGATGAATAGGAAGGCAATGCTAGATCATTAATAGATTAAAACATTATTCTATGCCAGAGAAATACTTGGCAGATAAACAAAAATATGACATCATCAGAAATGTACATGTAATATATATAAAAGAAAGTAACCTGAGATTTACCTTGAGCTGCATATGAATGTCCGTTCTCTGGTGTAATGTAAGGCGCTGGTGAAAGACTGGGAGCCTTTGTGCCAGGGCTGGATAAAACATCTGTCAGGTACATAAAAAAAAAAATTATAATAATCTGAATATGGTTTTCAGCAGTAATTTCTACTTTAGTCTGTTTTATTTATTTTATTCCACATTCCCATTTTAAGTTATCACTTTTCCTTAGCTTTTTATTGGTTTAATTAAATTATTACTTAAATCATAGAACTTAATCTGTTTTAACCTCAAAGTGAGTGAGCTATTAGATACAAAACGGCAAGTCTTCTTGTATTACGTTAGCTGTATTTGCAGGGCTTTGTAAAGCGTTGCTTTTGTGTGGACAGACAACATAATGGAAAGCAACGTCAAAGAATAATGTTGCAGCTTCTTTCAGAGGATCTTTGAATTTTAACAAGAAAATAACTTGAACAAAAGAACATCAGATTTGAAGGAAGTATAATCAAAAGACCGTATTACGATTTGAGTCGGAGGTCTTTGTGAGATTTCACACGGCTCCGTAATGATCATTTCCACCTAATTTCAAAAGGTTTTTACCACCAGAAGCACAGACTGGTATTAAGGCTCGAAAAGCTTTTTCTGTTCAAACACAGGTTAGATGAAAACCACTGAATCACAACCGGTGTTAAAGGTAAAGTTAATGAATTACTACAATAGAAAGGAAACACTGATTAAAACGCGGGTCTACAGATTTTTAGAAAACCATCGGAAACATTTACCAAAACCACACATTACAATAATGATTCATAACAACCTGAGTCTTGTTCCTGGTGTGGCTGAGCTTTACTGATGTCCTCCAGTAAATGAATGTGAGCTTCAATGACACTCTGCACATTGTTCAGCTGATCTTTCATGCCCTTCAGGGTATGAAGGTAGTCAACCAAGACCCCACTGCAAGATAGAGAATCTGAAAAAGAAAGCATAATGTGTGTTAGAAGGGAAAAACACTGTAGTGGGATTTTTAGTAGCGTTACTGGAAAACTATTTTACCCCTGAGGGAGTACGGTAGCACGAAACCTTCGAGTTCTTTCAGGAGTACATTTATTGGTTTCTGCATGAATAAAACAAGCCAACTGGTGAGAATTTATGCACACTGTGCAGTTCTATGAGCAGCAAAGAGGCAGCACACAAAGTGCAGGAAAAAAAAAAAAAAAACTCACATGCTTCTTTATAATTCTGAAGATGATCCGTCTTAGCTTCAGCTTCTCCGGTCCGGGAAACAGCTCGTGTAGGTCTGCTCGAGTCAGAGACCGGATCTCTGAATCTGTGCGGAAATCTGCTTCTGAAAATGAATATTGACATTTTATTGGGAATGCATGTGATTTTATGCGACACAGTGGTACAAGTCATTCAAATATATATATATATATATATATATATATATATATATATATATATATATATATATATATATATATATATATATATATACCAAATAGGGTGGTATGATTTGTTTTCATTCTGCTTTACCTCCTCATATGTAAACAACAACTTAAACACAGAGCCAGAACTACAATGGAATTGAGTAAATGATGTATGTTTTACAAGGGTCTAGTCAAAGTCCAGAGCTAAATCAATTTGAGGACCTTTGGCAAAAGAGGTTCTTCATCCAGTAATACTGAGCTTGTGCAATCTTGTAAAGAAATAAGAGCAAAAGTTTAGAAACTTACCCTAAACAACCTGTTGTTGTAATTGCATCAAAAGCTGGTTGCATAAAGTTTTAATTCAGTAGAACTGAACACAGTTGCAAGCCACACTTTTCAGATTCGTAATTCTAAAAGATGTTGAAAGCGAGACAACTTACCATTTTAAATCACAAAAATGCATCTGTCCATCTTTAACATAAAACTACAATGAGACACATTGAAATTAGAGTTTGCAAAGTGAAAAAAAATTGCAAAAAATAATAGTTTAGCAATGCACTTTAGTTATCAGAGACAGAACAGCACACCAATCACACTGCTGGTGTGCTACACTCATTTATTTAATTTTACTTAATAAGGAAGAAGTGTTTTTGAGGTCGAGGACAGATTTGTCCATGCTTGCGAATGTGGGACCGAGTCTGTGTAACCGGATCTGCAGTTTGTCCAGTCTGGTCTGAAGGGTCAGCCCAGCTGCCTCCTGTGAAGACAGCCACTTACGTTCCAGCACAGAGGCAGCTGCTGCGTTGGTGCGTCTCACTTTCCTCAGCAAAACAGCCATAACTTATCCTGAAGAGCAAACAGACTTTTGTTCATAATTAGTATGGCAAGGCATGCGTCTCGTCTTTAATTTACTACAAACTTTAAATGCAGAACGACTGTGAAAAACACGAGTTTGGTATAAAACAAAACAAAACAAAACAAAACAAAAAAACAGGGTAGTACAATAAATAAACGTCACGTGTTAAATCATCCGTACATATTTTATTGAGTAAAGATTGGACTAGATCTTGTTTTATTACTCACCGTTTACCGTTATCACAAAGTCAAAGTGACTTCACCGCAGCTATTTCTACTCACGTCATTACGTAAAGGCTTCAAACGGAACGGCGGCCGTCAGAGGAGATGACGCGGTTGTAAATCCGCCCATCAGTACGTCGCAAGCTAGAAAAAAATAATAGAGAACATGCGGTTCTGTTGTAAAATAAGCTTGCCATGTTTCTCTTTTGATTTTTGTCTGAAAAGAAGAGATGAAAATGTGAAGAAATGGAGCAGAACCCCTCCCCCCAACAAGGTTTGTATCGTTGGATTAAATTAGGCCCTTTAATAGACACTTAAAAAAAAAAAAAAAAAAAAAAAAAAAAGTTCCTCCCAAAAATATTGAATAATGTTTGTTTTGAGAATGGGATGGTTGACAATTATTTTAAATACATTTTGAAATAATTTATTTTAATGGAGCTATACATTCTAGACCAGTGAGGAAAAAAGGCTCACACACAATCCTTTAGTTTATAGTTTTCTGAATGTTATGTTTATAGGTAACAGCTCTTTTGAGGAAAAATATTGCATTCCCTTTTTCAACCTGCCATCTTTGGCATTTAGGAATGTGCTGGAAATGTCTTTTTTTTTTTTTTTACCTTGTTTGCCTCAATAATTTATAGGTCAGATTTAATTAATACGCTTTACAAAACAAACAAACAAACAAACAAGACTAATCCTCTGAAAATAGTTGTTGGTGGAGTGATAAAAAAAATAAATAAAAGAAAGTTGAAAGTAACTTTGAAAACTTTCAGAAACTCTCCATCAGGGTCACTTCTAAAGAAACCCTGGCCTTATTGAGCAGATTCAGCACCTTTTCAGTGCTGGAGTTTGATCTGGGGAACGTAAAGAGCTGAACACCGCATTGATCGTTATGATGAAATCTATTTAAAGGAGGACTTAGTAAGGAGGAATGTGGGAAAACCTGCATGACTGTGGGTGTTATTTATAGTCTGTTTGTTTGTTTGTTTTTATCTGGAAAACTGCACCAAATTTCACGATGTTTCATTGTTGCAACGTCAGTAAAGAGTCCTGAACTTGACTTCAGCACAAGACACCCGCTGGTCCTCCAGGAAAATTCATGAGATGTGTTCAATCACATTGTGAACAAGCACTGAAAGCTCAGCTTCCATTACACTGACAGAGATTTGTGTTGTTGCCTCTGACCTTCATCCTGGAAACCTCCTTCATATACTAACTGTAGTAGTCGGTGACAGGGTACAGCGTGCTCACATAGCAAAGCCAGCAGGGTGCAGTACTGTACAGCGCTACCTGCTGTTCCTCCGCTGTCAGTCTCACAAAATCATCTGCATATGGCTTTCTCTCCCCAAGTTTCTTAAAATCTCCAATAATTATGACCATAAACAGATAAAAGTCAAAATAACAGAGACCAATTCAATGAAGACATGTACATGGATAGTTGCTGGTGTGTTCAGTTTATCTCTGATTCCAGCCTGTCGCAACTCTGCAACCCAAACAGGCTTCATTCCTCCTTTTGTATCTTTGCGCAGAGCAGGAAAAATAAAGAGCAACAAAGAGGCGTCCAAGAGCGAAAAGCATCAGTAGATTTTTTATTTTTTTTCCCTCTCCTCCCCCATTGACTTCCAAGTCACTCAGCACAAACAAGATCCTCTCCCAGGCCTGACAGCCGACAGTGAAACTTCTCTCCTGTGTCAGACTTTCTGCAGGAGGTGGGGCTGAGACGGCTCCTTCCAGCTCCGCTCGGATTCCCTCAAGGAGCCTTTGAAGGGAGAATAAAGCAAAGTTTTGCGCGTATCTGACTGTAGCTCAACACTGCAGTGACATTCAAAGGCTCCCACTACACCAGCTTAACATCAGCTGTTGTTTCTTTGATTTAGATCTTCCTCCAGTGTCTTCAGTTTCACGCACCTTTTTGAAGAAAAAAAAAAAAACATCAGAAAGAGGGATTAAACCGCAGTCCAGTCTTTCATGGAAGTAGTGGCCAAATCTGCCCAGAAGACGGTAATCTGGCACCAGCAGTTGGCCTCTTTTGATTTAAAAAAAATAAAATAAAAAAAATAAATAAAATCTGGGAACTTCACAGAAAGTAATACGAGCCTACTTGGCTCCTGGCCACTTTTAGGTGATGCCAAGTCCACAGTCCCTTCAGAAAATCTTAGAAGGAGCCAAAAGTTGATCCAAGCTGACATCTCAGTCTTACCCGCTGCTCTTATTCACAACTAACAAGGTGATATCAAAGATACTCCTCTGAAATGAGTAAGGGAAGATTTATTTCACAGCTGAAATCATGATCTGGGTTTCACTCAAAGTGAAACAATGAAGGGAATCGCAACTTAAACTCTTGACTTTTTTTTTTCAAATGAAGCAGGAGAATGATGGACAGATTGAGTGTTTGCAGTAATGTAAGCATCTTAATTTGACCTCTGACCTTTGGTAATTAAATCTAGATCATAACTAAAATAATGGGATCATGGGTAAAAGTGGCTGAAATGAGCTTACTCTATGAGGTAATTTGGCTCAGGCATTGAGATGAAGTCAGAAACTGTTTCATCCAATAAAGGAGCACAGCAACAGCATCCTCCTGTGTGAAGAAACTTAATTAATATGAGTTACAACAACAATTATTTTTTTAACTTTGGGATCAATAAACTATGTTTACAATTGAATTTAACGTCATTGTACATCTTGTTTTCTATTTCAGACTTCATTTGTCTGTGTTTTTGTCATTTTGTATTCCTTTGTTGCAATTTTATTTGTAATGTCTTTTCATATCTTTGCTTAACACCCTTTTACAAAATAGGTTTCCAAAACACAAAACAAAACCATAAACATAGTCTTACAGGAGGTTAGAAATGCCCTTTGGAAATCATATACTTGTAAAAGTCATGAAGGATTATGTGGTTAATACACCATGGCTCCTACACCAGATTAGATGCTGGAACATTTCCTCATCTCGCTCGCCCTTGGATTTTGGGAAACGACTGGAAGAAAAACATTGTAATTCTGGTGTAACAACAGGAAAAACAGAAGACAGCAAAATGACTAACCTTGAATGTTTTTTTTTTCCTGTGTTGCTTTTACTGAAGAAAAAAAGCAAGAGAAAAAAAACAACAGCTGCAGAAAAAAGCGTTCTCTCTCTCTCTCTCTCTTCCTGTCTTTCTCTCTCTCTCCTTCTCTTTTTTGTGTGCACACTGGAAAGAGCAGACGATGACCTTTGGGTTTTACCACTGAAGGGATGAATATGGAAAGACAATGTCAAGTGGGAACAAATTCTCATGCACGGCCCATCGGCAGGAATGGAAATGAGATAAGCATGAGATTAGCAGTTGGTCTGAAACAAGAAACCAATGATTCAAATCCTGTGTCGGATACCTCGTCTCTGTGCTATCAGCGATCAAATCTTGTGATTTTCAGAGATTAAAAAGTGAGGCTTTGCAGCTGCCAATTTACACACACACACGCACACACACGCGTGCGCGCACACACACATGCTCACAGGGACAGACGCCTCTTTAGAATTATTCATTCATAAATCAAAAGGTTGTGACTGGAATTAATCTCAAGACGTGGGTGAGTGTAAGTCACCGGATGCAAATATGACAGCTTTATTAGAAAACTAGATTGCTTAGATTTGTCTGAATTAATGTGACACTTTCTTTGATTAAATACCACTCCTTTCTCTTCACTTACTGTGGACTGGGGCTGAAGGGGGGGGGGGGGGGGCGAAGAACGCAGAAGAATATGGACATCTCAATCTCAGAATAATTTGCTTATATTGCTTTTGACTGACAACCTATGGTGCGCGACACCGCGTTGGCTTTCAATTAGGTTTTCTTTTGTTTATGGAGCAGGTGGGCTCTGACTATCATTTGAACCAAACAGCTACATTTGATTCATATCATGTGCAATAACGCTAAACCTGCCCCGCAGGGTCACTACGGAGCATCCACCTTTCTGGACGCAGCATCGATAGGAGTATCGATCAGTCTGCTGAAGGATTGGCTGGAAATAAGTACGCGCAGCAATTTTGTCAATCAATTAATTGCTTAAACTGAACCGCATTCCAGCAATTCAAAGACAGGCGATACTAACGATTGTTTCGAGGAGCTCCCGATACGCAGCGGCGCTTTCTGTCAGGAAAGCAACGTCGTGCGGATGTTTGGCTTAGCGTGACCTATGACACAACTTTGAGGTTGTTCGGTCTGCTGTTTGCTTGGTAAGATAAATGTGGCAGGTTCAGGTTGGTGACAGTTCAGACAGGCCATTGCTGTGGGTTTCTAGCAGCGTTAGGATTGGATTTAAAAGAAAAAACAACAACACATCATCCCTGTGGATCCAGCGGTGATACCGTGAGACACGCTGGGTGGAGTGAGAGGAGGAGGACAGTTCTAAATGCGAGTGTTTCGGAAACTGAGCCAGGAGGGACATTGCCGCAGCCCAGGCAGGATGACTAAAGCATGAAAGGAGGGTTGGGCAGATTCCCTGGAGAGAGATGGGAAGAGGGGGCTGGCATAGTGAAGGTGTAGCAGCAAAAGCTGCTGCAGCACTTCCACAAATTGATGGCTGAGTTCATGGGATGCAAGAAGCAGGCAGAGAGAACAACAAGACGATCACTGACACACTTCGTTTTCTACAATGTAGCCGTGAGATGTCGCTCCACGGGACGAATGAGCTGTCGTTAAGTGGAAATCCAGCACTGAAAAAACGATGAACAGAATACATTCGAGTCAAACATATCTCAACCTCGTTTTCATTTAGCTCGTCGCGAAGAAGTTCTTATGCAAAACCATGAGAAAGAAAATGCTACGACGACTCCAAAAATAATATTGTTTTCTCTCTTTTTGTCTCTTTTAAATGCTGTTTGAGCTCCAGCTGGTGCTTCGCTCTCATGTGGGATTGGGCTTTGCAGCTTTTCTGTGTTCATCAGTGTGTGTTTGTGTCCATTCCTTCACTGCTGTGCTCACAGCAGGAGCCAAGCTTCTTAAGGGAAGCACACAACATCAAGCGGAGGCAAGATTTGTGTGTAAATGTAAGTCGCAGGACTTGCACGAGTCAGGGTTTGAGTGTGTGTTTGTGTGTGTGCGCGCGCGCGCGTGTG